AGCTTTCAAAAAAAAATTGAAATAAGATTCTCGTAACAGAATAAACTATTAACCATTTTAAAATATACAGTCTTGTGACATTTAGTACACTCACCATGTTGTACAACGTTATCTCTGTCTAGTTCTACCTCTATCTCTATCATCACCCAAAAGGAAATCTCATTACCTATTCAGCTGTCACGCCCCATTCTCCCTTCTCCCTTCTCCCCTCTCCCTTCTCCCCAGGCCTTCCTGGCAACCACTAATCTGGCTTTTCATCTTTATAGATTTGCCTATCCTGAATGTTTCATATAAATGAAATCATATATGACTCTCCATATCTGGTTTTGTGTATATAGCTCTTTAGCTCATGGCCCGACTGTCAGGACAGAGCCGTTCTAGCTGTGAGAGAAGCGTAGTCGTGCCTGTGGCCATTGAAGAATCTCATTTACTCGAGCCAATTCTCCTTTGTGAGAGTCCCACTGCTATGGCTAGATGTCAGTTCTGGGTTGTGTGAGGGGTACCAGAAGCCTCTTTGACAGGTTTTCTATAGTAGGAGAAGGAGAGAAAAGGGTTGAGGAAGTGCGCCACTCACTCACTTTGCCTCTTGTATTTCTCTTTATTCTAAAGAACAGCTCCCTCCCACCGGCGACGCCCACCCTCTTATAGAACAGAGTGCTCTTTTTCTTCTTTGCAGACCTTCACCATGGTATAGATTTTATCTGTGTGTGTGTGTATATGGGTGTAAGATCCAGTGTTCCTTCTGGGGTTGATTTGATTGATGTATACACTGGAAACATCTTTAATAATTTAATGCCTGCTTCAAAGGAGATTACACCAAAAAGCACATTGCTTTTCATTTATTCATTACAGATCTGTCATAGCAGCATTTTTTTTTTTTTTTTTTTCGAATCGTAGTGTCGTAATAATAATAAATTTTGTTCTGCACTCAGGTTATTTTAAAGGATTATAAGCCTTTTAACTAATGTTACTGTCTTATTTAAATTGATCAAATTGATATTTCAGCACCATAATCTTGCATTTCTTAAAGCCGAGCTAATCAGATGTGGATTCATTTGAGGACTACTGAAATAGCTGTGCTGGGAAAGTCTAATAGAAATAATAGGATAAAAGCATAATCCTGTTTGTTAGTGGTGGTAGTGATAATAGCTAGCAAAGAGAACAGAACCTGAATTTAGGGCTGGGTGTCTCCTTCCCCTTAAAAAAAGATTAGGGTATTTACCATCCCTTTGCATTAAAAAGAGAAAAAGAAAGTATATGTGTTTGGGAATTGGGAGTGAAGAAAGTGGTAAAATGGGAAACACAAAACTAAAAACCAACACACAATCATTCTGTAGCTTTCAGGTATAAATCCAGATATCAAGAAAGTAAAAGAGACTTTTTCCCATTTAGACAGAAGATAGTCACCTTAACGGACTTTAGCAACCTCTTGTAATATATGCCCAGAATGACAAGGAACATATTTAGATTTCTAAATGATAACAGTAAATTTTGATTTTTTTCTGTTACTGTTACTGTTACTAAATGTTTTTTATTAAGAAATGGTATATAACTTCTCTTTAAAACCCAAACTGAAAGTTGCTATGAATAGGGAAGTTTGGGCAGAGTAAGGATTAAAATAAATTTAGGATACTGTTACATAATTATCAATTCTCAGAGATAATTTAAAAAGAAATCTCTTTCTTTTTTTTTTTTTGTTTTGTTTTTATTTATGTACTGCTTCAGGTACTCTGCCTAACAATCTTTATAATGTTCCCTCCCTAAATCACACCAGAAGTCTTTAATACACTTCAAGAAATGTTTTGTTCTCAGGTCAGTAATTCTTTAAACAATAAAAGTAATGTTGCCTACGGCAGATGTTATATTTTCCGACTGTTGAAAGTATACTTGAGTGTGCTTGCAGTAGCGGCTAGGTGAACTATCAGTTTCTTGTGTGATTTGTTTAAGGGAGAATACCAGAACTTTGGGACAAGATTGCTTTAGAGTCAAATCCTAGTCCTGCTTGTTCACCCACGTGTGATGTTGGAAGTGTTGAATGATTTCTCATTTTCCTTATTTGTAAAATGGGCATAAGAAGAGTGCTTCATAGGGTTACTGTGAAGATTACATAAAATGATGAATCTATAAGCGCCGAGCATGACGTTTGGCATAGACAGGTGATGGATATACATCTTGTCTGTTCTTTTGACCTGCAAATACCGTTCATGCTGGGTTTGGGAAGTTTCAGTGACAAGATGTAGAAGATCTGTCGGCAGGCTGCCACATTCAACCTTGGATGTCTCTTTCCTGCCATGTGTTCTTATTGCTCCTCTCCTTATGCTCTATTATAACATGATGGTTACTGCACTGCTCTGAGCTCTTTGCTATTAGAGACAGTTGTGTTTGTCTCCCAAAATCTGGATTGCTGCTTAGCACAAACAAGTGCTCCAGGCAAATTCACTCAAGTCATGGTGACTGAGAACCTCCCCCGCCACCCGAACGTCTCTTAGGGTCCCCTTAATCCCTCAAAGACACTAGGAAAGGACCTGACTATCTCTGGGCTGTTGTGGCCTGTATAGAATAGACCAAACCAAGTATGCTCTCAAAGGCTGTTTATTAGCCTGCGGCTGTCCTGTACAAAGGAGCAGCCCCGAAATGTCAAGATACAAGGTTTTTGAGTCCTAAATCCCATTCTTCATTCTGTCTTAAACACAAAGGTCTATTTTTCTCTTATTCACTACCTGTCAGCGCACAGGTCGGTTGTGCAAGCGGGGGTACAGAAGCAGAAAGCTTATTGTTATGTTATGTTCCCATGGGTGATAGCCTATATTCCCATGGGCAATAGCCAAGCAGTAATTTTCCAGCCAGCACACTTTGTCACCATGGATGATGGCTAGTGCTCACTTTTGAAATTGGTGACTGGCTTTCATTACTCCTCATACTCTATGACGATGATTTGATAGAGATGCTGTCCTTAGCCACCACGAGGTGGTTCTTGCCATGTCCCTTTGAGGTTAGTCTCCTCTCTTCTCCCCACCAACCTGGCTTTTGTCTCTCTCATCCTTCTATTTAGAATGAGCCACTTTTAGCCCTTGGAAAATCTTTGAATTACCTCCAGGAAAATGCTGAGTGCAATATCCAGTCCTCTGGTGTCTACACATCCAATGCCACTATTTTCTATGGCTCTTTCTAATCCCAACAGAATAAGGAGCACCAGTACGGCCCGCATACTCAGCGCAGGGCACACGTCCCATCTACTCTCAGATTCAAAGGCTTAAAAGCCCTTCCAAGGGCCTCTCTAGCGATATCTCAAAATATTAAACCCGTGAAAGTCTTAATTTGAGGGGATCTCCAGTGGGCGTTGCTTTCCATCTCTGGTCAGGTTCCGGAGGCTGGGCCACTTTGAGTCGGGTGTGATGGATCCAATGCCGTGGTCCAGCGACCTTAACTGCTGTTGGTGTGGTCAAGACGACAGGAACCGGGCCTTCGCATCGAGGCTCAAGAGCAGCAGGTTGCACTTTCTTTATCCAGACCCAGTCACCTGGTTGATAAGAGTGGGGCTGGAAGGAGAAGTTCTTATCTTCTCTGGTGGCCAACACCAGATGATTTACATCTCTTCGGGCTAATTGTAAAGCCTGCAAAGACTTAAGCAAGGACAGATTATGTACTTCTATTTCTTTTCTATTTCCTAGTTTGGGCAGTAAAGGGAGTGGACACCCAAACATAATTTCGTAAGGCGTTATTCCTTTTACATAGGGGTACATCTAGCACGGAGAAGTGCAAAGGGAAGGAGGCTTACCCAATTTTCGCTGGTTTCTAATTTATACTTAGTCAGTGTTTCTTTTAAAGTCCTAATCATCCTTTCTACCTGGCCTGAACTCTGTGATCTATAAACACAATGCAATTTCCATTCTATTCCTAGTAATTTTGCAATAATTTGACTAGTTACAGTGATAAACGCTGGGCCATTGTCGGACCCTAATGTTATGGGCAGGCCAAATCTCGAAACTATCTGCGATAATAATTTCTTAGCTACTACTTGTGCAGTTTCATGCTTAGTGGGATAGGCCTCAGTCCATCCAGAGTATGTGTCAATAAAAACTAGTAGGTACTTAAATCCAAAAGTTCCAGGCGTAACTTCTGTAAAATCAAGCTCCCAGTGCTCTCCAGGTCTCTTTCCCCTGAGTGTCACTCCTTGTTCCGTGGAGGTCCTTCCTTGGTTTACTTGTGCACGTACTGCACACCTATTAGCCACGTCCTTGGCTAAACTTTTCAGTCCTGGAACATAATAATCCCTTTTCAATAGTTCAATTAACTTTGCCAACTCTCCTCTGCTCATTACTTCAAGTGTGTCTGCCTCAAGGCTTTGTCATGTTTGCTCTCTGTAGAGAAAGGACGGGACATGAGTGTGGAGATGGTGACATACTGTTTTCTCTTTTGGAAATTAGAGATCTTTTTCACCTTTATTCATTTAGGTCTTATATATAAAAATTAGAAATCCTTACTAAGCACGGTGAGTTACATTTCATGAATCTCTTGTCTTTTAGCGCTTGTCTGGCAGATCTACTCCCCTCCCACCTTAGTTTGTGCCCACCTGGGCCAGACACTCCACTAAGCGTCAGTCAAGGACCCTGCAGTGCAGTTTCCTCTCTGCCATGGAGGTTAAGAGCATTGGTTCTGGAGTCACATGCTTAGTTCTAATGCTGGCTCTTGCATTTATAAGTAGTGGGATCTTGGGCTAGATATTTGATCTCTCTGTACCTTAGTTTTTTCTCCTGTGAAATGGAAATAATACCAACCTCACAGGATTGTCGTGAGGATTAAATAAGAAGATATTTATGAAGAGTGGAATTCAGTAGGCGCTCAGTAAAGGTTAACACATTATATACTGTAAAGTACTATGCAAATGTAAGGAAGTTTTTCTTGATTGAAATGTACTAATTATTATATTATTATAATGTACAATGGAAAATCTCTGTTACACTTCTTACTGTTATTTATTATTCCTTTTGATCCATCAGAGGCCAGCAGAAATAATAGATGAGGAAGAAGATGGAGAGAAGGAAAGCAAGGGTACAGAACAGAAAGAAGAGTTTACAGGTATGAATGGTGAAGTTGAAGAGGAAGGAGATGGGGAGATTACGGCTGCCTCTGAGCAAGCTGAGATGCCAGGTCACATGGAGGAGCAGGCAGGCCCTGCTCGTGTTAATGGAGGCACTGATGAAGAAAATGGTGAGGAACTGGATCAGGTCAACAATGAGCTTCAGGAAGCAGTGGATGAGGAAATAAAGTCTCCAGGAGCTGGCAATGGACAAGAGGAGGTATTTCTATTGCTTTTGCTCACTTGTGTACATGCATGAATGTGCGTGTGTGTATGCATACACTTAAGGAATTATTCAAGCACTTAGGACTTGCACTGAAACCTCTTACAGTCGAGTAAGGAAAGATCCAATACCATTAACACTATATTATTTTAATCAGTTAAGAAGTACCGTTAACCACCTGACAGTCTGTATTTCTGTCCTTCTTGTCATCCATCCATCCATCCATCCATCCATCTATCCATTCATTCATCCATCAATCTATCCATCCATCCATCTCCTACCTTATTCTACAAAAAATTTACAGAGGCTTCTAATAACATGTACAACAAAAGAGAGAAGTATAAATAATAAGTATAAATAAGTTAAGACTGGGGAAGATACAAACCAGGAAAGAATATCGAGACCAGTGAAACCTAGACATGATATAAAGAACATTGTTTCTGTTATGGGTGACTTCTTTGTACTCCATAAATATTAAAGTTCAGTTTATCTAATCTATTTTAAATGAGTTAATTGAATTAAGTGCTCAATATACTAGGCACTCAATAATATATATAGTTCTATTTTTTATACACTTAAGGTGAAGAAATATGTGTTGAAACCTTCTTCTCAACCTGTTTACCCACCACTGGCCCTGGGGCAGGATATTCTCAAGTCCTGGCATTCTTCCATAGCAGAGATAAAGTTCAATAAAATAGATTAAGTTAGATGGTGATGGATAGGCTCAAGCTGAATTTCATAGTGTAAGAGGTAGGTGTACTCCACAGCATTGTCACCATCTGCTTGTGCCCTTCTTTCCTGTCTATCAGCTCAGGGCCACCTCCCTCAAGGCTGCAACCTCTGACTTGGGTCTTGTACCCT